TATGTAAAACGGGTAATTTCAAATATGAGTTTACAGTATTGCACCTTCACTGATATAACATAACGATTTTCGAGTCAAACAGTAGAACCGTAAAACAACATACGACAGGCTAGTGAGGCTCGTTAGTGCATTCCTATGAAAAAGGGAAAGCCGAACTCAGTGTTATATTTGTAAAGAACGCATGTAGTCGTGAAAATTGAGAAACAATTTTAATTTGACACCTCATATGAAAACGGTGTTGAAAATGTTGCATTGTCGGCGTCAAAACTGGTGACGAAATACTCACGTGTTCTATTTAACTTACAAATCTGCAAGTTGTTCGAAATTCACAGGTAGCCAGATCGCATTAGTATAAACGATGCTTATTATTATTATTATAGATTCCGTTTCATCTTTAAAAAAAACAATTTCGCATTCTTAACTATGTTGCTAATAATTCTCTTTAGGCATATATTATTATATACAGAGAAAAAAAATGAAAAAATCTGATTGCCGACAAAAAACATACATAGGGTGTCCATAAAGTTCGTGTGCACCTTAAAAAATTATAACTTTATTTGTATTTGCGATAGAAATAATCTGTAAAAAATGTTATAAAGTTTAATGTACCTAGTTTTAAGTAAAACTAATGTAAATCAGTTGGCAAATGTTTTCTGTGAACTGCAAAATCGTATTACCCTTTGTATTTGATATGTCCCGGAAAGGGATATATTTGTTCGAAGTCGCAAAGTGGTTTTTGGACTACTGTAACCGGGTAGGACAATCTAGCAGATAACCGTAATGAACTTGTCCTCGTCGTAGTGGTAGGCACTAGGCGTAGGCAATAGGCGTAGTCCCTGTACCTCCACATCAGTCTGTATTTATGGCTGACACCAGCCAATCATATTACTGTGAGGGGAAACCCAGGTGTATGCATATTCATTACATCAGTATTGCTAATGATGGAGAACATGTGGAAACTTAAATAAAATTTCAATAAAACCTTAAAAAATATAGATTTACTTCTTTCTAATCCTTTTTACAAATTATTTCTATCGCAAATACAAATAAAGTTATAATTTTTAAAAAATTGAACACGGACTTTATGGACACCCGTTATAAGCATTATTACTTATAAGATGGATTTTTTTTCAGTTACTCTAGACGAAAGTAATTAAGAAGCAAGTTTAATACAGCATGTGTTGTAGGAAATAAGGTAACTTAAGATTATGTTGCACTAAAATTCCAATTGAAGTTGGTTTGTTTACCTTTAAAAGAAAAGAAAAAAAAAATCAAACACCTTTCTAAAATCAGCCCGACTTCTATCCCGGCTCGAACTGAGACATCAATGGAAAACGTGCAACTACCTCGACCATCAAGCCTGCCCATTATATAAACTACCCAAAATATAGATTATTTATTATTGCCTTTAATTCTGAAGCACCGTTAACATTCAAACATTTTTCGGATAATTTAATATCTTCATCGTTTCTTTTATCGCGGCATATATTCTTCAGCCTTTGTTGTTGCTCAAAGTAGAAAGCTTCTTTTTCTTTAAGAAGTGTACACTTCAAGAAGACCATAGAATGGATCGGCTGAAATGTTGCGTTAACAAATCCAAAGACACAAAGAAATAATTAAATTGTCAAAAAAAAAAAAAAAATTAAAATAAAAAAATAAGCCAATGCTCTACATGTAGGTTTAACGCAGTAAATTTCAACGAAGATTAGTAACGCCTCCTTTGGGGCGCTATGAAATCTGAAGGGAGCAGTAAGTTTTCAGGTAAGGCTATAATTTTGAAAGGACAGTAAGATGATGTAACCCTTTGATTGGAAGATATCGCATATTATATACACATTTATTTAACTTTTGCTAATATATATTTACATTTTTTAAGCATTTTAATTATTTACCTTCAGCGGCCATGTGTATGCGTAACAAAAACTTGCAACTTAATGTTCGGTAGTTTGTTTGTTTTTTATGGGCAAACCCGGCGATTGGCGATACTGTAATATAACAAGATGTAAACACGTGACATTAAGTCTGCTCCATTTACCACTGCTTTTTTAACATGGGGTTGAGGGCACCCGCCCGTGAAAATATTGGAAAGATGCTGCAGAATAAAAGGATAAGAACTCTTGATTCAAAATGCCTTCACTCCGATTCAAAAATAAACAAAACAGAGAAAATGGAGAAAATCAGCAAATAAATTAAACGATTTTGCTTTTGGTTTTAAATTGGATTTTGACTTAAAATCTCGCTTGTATCATTGTATTGGATTTACACACATACACACCACCACTTTCTTCAGGTCATGGTTCTCCACAACTTCCAGTCAATCCTTGTCCCTTTACTATCTCATCCAATCCATGTTCGACCATTCGTAATATGTTCGATTGGTCTAGATTCGAATACATTTTTCTCTGTGTCCAAATTCCACAGCCCTGTGGAATCGACTCCCAAGAGGATGCTTCCCCGATTACTAGAATCTTAATCTGTTCAAGGCTAGTGTTAACTGTTATCGTCCACTCTTATCCGCTCAAATTGCCTCCTAGCTTAATCATCTACCTCGAGTGCCCCTTCCCCCGGGCCTCGTAAAGTATGAACCTTACTGTATATATATATATATATATATATATATATATATATATATGTGTGTGTGTGTTTGTTTGTGTGTTAGCGATCACGCACTGACTCAGCGTTCCTCACCACACACGTAAGAAATTTAATTTTCAGATGAACACAACAATTTTACTTTCGACAATAGAGAAAACTACAATGTTTGTCTTGTAATAAACAATACCCTGATGATGACATTGTAATATGTCGAAAGTACTCTGAATAAAAGAAATATGTAACGACACAGCGATTTTCTTGTCCTTCAATAATGACACCAAAAAGCTTATCTGTGAATATGAAAGGATCGAATTGAAACAGAACATGTCTAAATTATTCAACGAAACATGTCATATATATATATATATATATATATATATATATATATATATATATATATATATATAGATAGAGAGAGAGAGAGAGTGAGTGGGGACGCACCAGATTATTCGTTCTCTCCTAGAAATTGCAAGATACTCTCAGCATAGTTGCAGTATATATATTTACAAAGTGTAACTTAGGTGTGGCACAAGGCCGCAACTAAAGACCATCTAGTGAAGATCGCATAAACCACTATTACTATGATTTAGCGAGACAAGTTTGCTAATCATTAAACTACGTCGAAATGCTCATATATATATGGTGGATTCTTCCGTCGAATTCGACGTATGAGGGTCAAGCAGTTCAGTTCCTAGGAACCGACAGCCTACACACCAGCACATATGATTTGATTATATGGGGAAGGCTTTGTACACAACCAACCACACTTTCTGAAGAGCCGAATACAAAGACCTGGTGCCCTACGTACTACAAGGTCCCCAAACGACCCTCCGCAGGTTTTGAATTCAGAGTTGTTCTTCTCCCAGACCAGTTGCTATCCAAGGCTATAGAACCCAGTCTGTCCAGCTATTTACCCATAGTTGGAGAGAGGACAAGAGGATTAATACTTTTCCCAGGTGAATACAATGTGGGAACCAGTAATAAAGACTGCCAGAGAAAAGCGATAATAACAACAACAAAAAAAAAAAAGTTGAAATATGAGCTCTGGTAAAAACATGTATGATAACAGCAAAAAATTGCAATATGAGCACTGGTAAAAATGGTTGCTGAAGACATTAGGTTTATAATACCCAGAAATTCATACACAAATGTCCTCAAGGACGCATCGCACAGTGGATAAAGGCGTTGGTTAGATGCAGTGACAGGACCCAAAGAGTGTGAGTTCAATTAGAGTAAATTAACAGGAGATAGCTGATAACTGACATCCATTAAACATGGCACGTGGAACTAGAACAGTCTACCCCAGTGAGCGTAATAAAGGGTTCAGTTCGACATTCCAACCACCTTGTAATAAATATGGATAATAATGGATTCGGCTGGAATTCGAACTCGGCTCTCCGATTCCTTAATCCAAGTCGCTATCTACCGTGACTCATATGTGTGTGTATTACTCATCATAGCTTAGATGTGACACAAGACCACAAGTATTGAGCACCTAGTGAGGATCGAATGTGTGTGTGTGAATATACTTGGGCATTAGACGTGTTGTTTCTTGGGCAAGATAACCTGACCGAGCCCAACCCGGTTTTGAATTCAAAGTTTTCCCTTCTCCTAGACCGATTGCCACCCAAGGCACCCAGTCTGTCCTGCTATTTAACCATAGCTGGTGGGAGAAGAAGATTGCCATACGTAAGTGAATGTAATGGATCCTACTGGAATTCGAACTCGGTTCCTCAATCCGAGCCGTTATCCATTACCGTGCCTCCACTAGTCCGAATGTAAATAGTGTAAATAATGAGATATTCAGAAAATGTTGAATTTTTTCAATGAATATCTGTCAAATACGATTGTAGATTTCTTTTTCCAGGGCCGTCTTTTATATTCCGAAAAATGATGGTAAAAAAACAACAGTAAAATTTCGAAGCTTCAGAAACTGTCGATTCAAACCGGCCGTTTTCTATATATAAAATAATTTACATCTAAAAAAAAAATATTTTTCTAAAAGATACTCTCTAAATGTTGCAATTTTATTGCCGATTTTGGCAATACACAGAAAGTAAAATGGTCAAATGAATATTATTATTTGAAAAAGTGTATTTGCTGAAATAAAAACACCCCTGCGCAAAAAAACAAAAAAAAAAAACAAAAACAAAACAAAAACAAACTATAAAATGAGAATATCACAAGTTTGTGTTCATTGCATGTTTGGGTGTATTTGATACTGAAGTTTACTGAGTTTTTTTTTTTTTTTTTTTTTTTCACGATTTAATTCCTGTGGAAGATCAAAATAACTTTTCGAATGCTTCCAAAGTTTTTTGTTCTTATTTTTTCTGGAAAGAATAAAAAAGAAAATTCTGCAAAACAGAAGGAAGAAAAGAAAAAGAAAAAGAAGAAGCATAACTTACGGTGTCGGAGGAGATATGGACGCTGGCATGGTGACCCCAGCCGGTACATAGGTAACCACTTCATTGACCAGATGCATCTTAAGGCAACAGGGTGGTATTACTTATTGTCCTTGTTGAATAATGGATATAACAATTATTAATTCTCTTCTTTCCTTTTGAATCGGCTTTTCAAAGCGTAAATAATAATACCAGTTAGTGAAGAAGATTATTTTCCAAGAAAAAGGGTACTTATTTTTGTGCACAAGCCAAGATTTGCCTTACGAATGCACATCATCTTAACATCTATGATTTTTTTTTTCTGTAAGCAAAATAAATGTTGTTTTTTAAATTTTAAATATTTGCACGTTTTTGTTAACAAGCGCCCCTGTCTATAGTTGGTTACACACGGGGAATTTACCAATCATTCTTGTATAATGTTACACAGAGATTCGTTCGTGAAATTTCACTTAAAAAAAAAAGATGTTAAAAACAAAAGAAAACTAATGGCTTCCTTGTTTGTTGATATTGGTCCGTTAATCCAGCCAGTTTTTTTTTCTTTTTTTCTTTTTCAGTTAGTTGTGTTTACAGTAGTACTACTACTATTACTACTGGTAATAGTAAAAGACCAGGCAATAGTAAAAAGTTGTAAGTAAATTTAGAGAGCTACTGTTTTGAAAGTCGTGCCGTGTATCTCTGTGAAAGAATGTCTGACTCGTCAGGTGTGAGCAGCCACTCAATGAGGGAGGACGTTGATAGTAGGTCTCAGTTTGTCGTCTGGCTTGTCACAGATACTTACCATCTCGTCCCACCGCAGCAGCGATTTGTCGTCGCCTCCGCTGCTGCTGCTGCTGCTGCTGTTGTTACAATTGGTCTGGGCTTGTCATTTACTCACGTTTTTCAGCACTAAGTTAAGTTTCTTATTTCGTCGTTTTCCGAAACTTTATCTCAGCTTTGAAACTGAAAACAGTACAGACTCTGTGAGGATTTTTTTCGTGTCATATTCGATTGGATTAGAATTTTTCTGGAGCATCATACGAAAACTTTGCTGAAGATGGGGACATTACTCATTTTGTCAAAAACATTAGATTTCGACCACAAGCAAGAGTTGTCAGTTTCTGCTACTTTTGAAAGTCCAGTGTTACTAAAGTGATTATGTATCGTGTCCCGTCAAAACGAAGAGCGACCATGGCTCTCCACTATTTACTGTTCCTTGTAACTCTACAAGATTTCTCTCATTTCCATTCAAACAAACTCATTAGCAAAGTTGCTTAATCTGCCTCTGCTAATTTCAATATGTCATTTAATTATTATATTTTCCATGCTGCCTTTCCTTATAATGTGTCCCATAAATTTCAACAGTTTCTTTCTGATTTTAAGCATAAACGTCTTTCCAGTTTTCATTTTCTTTACCGTAATTTCCCATGTATAATAAACCTTCATCCATAATACGCACCCCTAAAATTGTGCTGAAAGTGTGTAAAATGCGTCAACTCATGCATAAAACGTACCTCTTTGTTTGGTAATCAAATTGTTCCTCTCTAATTTCATTGCGGCCAGCGTTTCCTACTCTTGTTTAAACATAGAATAATATTATTCTAATTTGCTTTTATGATAATTATTATTTTATTTTACATTTGTAAGTATTTTTAGGTACATATGATTGTATTTGGCATCATAATGGGGTTGTAATCTCCGAATGTTAATGTCAAATTGTCGTATGTTTGTGGTGAGTAGTGATTTCGCAACTGAACTCGACCGATTAAACGGCAATTTTTAAAAGATTTTGTAGCTGTGCATAAATACGCGCCCCTAATTTTCCTTTTTATTTTTTGAAAAAAAATGCGTATTATACATGGGGAATTACGAGGGAACTTCCTCGTTGCTAACGTCTTCCTTCCATGGTATTCTTATCATCTGTCTAAAACCATATCTCTATCGCTTCGAGTCTGTCCTTCCTCTGTTAAGAAACTGTCCAACACTGACTACCCTACATGAGGATAAATATTACATAGCAGTTTTAGTACCCTTTTCTTTCTTTTTCTATTGACATATTCCTATATTTTAATACTTTGCTTAGCTTACGGAAAGCATCTTTCGCTACCGCGACGGGCCTTCGGATCTCTGTGTCGTAATTTCCATCGTCTGTTATTACACTACACAGAGACGTTAAATCTCCTCACCTGCTTGATTCTGATGTCTCCCATTCACAGCTCACAACTTAAACTGTCCCTCTTGCTGAGGACTATACATTATGTTTTCTTCTAGTAGATATTCCTTTCTTCTCGTTTTTCTTTGTTCCCGTCTCTAGGAGTTTTGGTAGTTTTCATTCACAGTGTCATCGATTATGTTCACTGATAGTAAATCTTAGTAGAAAACTACTAATAAGTACTACTAATAGTAGTTCAGAATTTAGTTGCATTGGGGATTTCAAATTGCCGCTAAATTTGTTACCTGTGGCCAAATGTAGCGATTCAGGTTTCAACTAGATAACGAGATTAAGAAATTTTACACCGCCAGTCCCTTTCAGGTCTGTCTTGCACTTTTAGTCTCCTCGATATTGTTACGTATACTTACTATCAAATGGGGCAAATGTGGTATATTCATGACTTTTCCAAATGAATCTAGAAACGGGCTGATGGGTTCAAATTCCATAAAAACGACATGTTTTTCAGCTAGCCAATTCACTTCATTGGGCGATAATAGAAAATGAGTTCCGCAGATATACAAAAATAGAAAGGGATGTAAGACAATAATGTGTCTTCTAGCCGGATTTATTCAACTTATACAGTGAAACAATTCTGAGAGAAAGAGACGTTCTACCAGGATTCATTATCAGCGGCCACAAACTTAACAATATAAGATATGCAGATGGCATAGTGCTGATAGCAGACACGGAAAGGCAAGTATAAAACGGTAGACTTCAAAGAAAACATTTATTCCTGGAATTTAAAAAAAAGAATCTCTCTCTCTCTATATATGTATATATAAATAGATAAACATTACTACGTATCAAACAATGATACCTTCCCGAAAAATACTAAAATAAATGTATATAACGCATGTAAGTATAAATATATTTCTACGTCTTTATATAGGCGTGACTGTAAGTCTTTGTATGTATGTGCGTGTGTCTCAGTGAAACACACACAATTAAATGATGTAAAAAGCATTACTCAACAAATATTTATTTTTTCAACATTTCTTGACTGAATATCAAAAGGATTGTATGGTTTATTTAAAAAGATAATGTTAATTTTCATCCAATTTTGTCGACGCAGCACAAGTTGGCAAAGTGGGTTGCCGTTTTTATGCAGCCAGTGCTGGATATTTCACATGATTAGCACATATGCAAAAATAGAAAGGAGTGTGAGACAAGGATGTGTCTTCTTACCGGACTTATTCAACCTATACAGCGAAGCGATTTTGAAAGAATTACAAGTCCTTTCAGAATTCCTTATTGGCGATCATAATCTTAACAATATAAGACATGAAGATGACACAGGGTTGTTTTCAGACTCAGAAAGAAAACCGCAAAAACTCCTACAGAAGGTAGTGAAGGAAAGCGAGAAGAAAGGATTAAACTTCAACTGTAAGAAAACAGAATGCGTGGTTGTTAGCAAAGGAATGAACCCAAAGTGCGAACTGCAAATAGAAAATACCAGAATTAAACAAGTACAAAAATTTAAATATCTAAGAAATGTGTGACACTGAAATCTGAAGGTGCTTTAGGATAACCATAGATGCCTTCCAAAAGCTAAGTAGAGTATTAAGAAACAGAACAACTTCGTTAAAAACAACGAAAAGAACTGTTGCTGGATATCTGCCCTTTTTACATAGCAGTGAATGCTGAAAAATCGCCTCAAAGATGAAGAAGAGACTTGAAGCAACAGAAATGTGGTTCTTTGCTGAGTGTACCATGAATCGAATATGTGAGCAACGACAAAGTTTTAGAGAAAATGGAAAAATGGGAAATTTATACTTAGAAGGCTTAGAAAATCTGATACTCATAAGAAAGTTTAAAGGCAAGAGGGACAGAGGAAAACAACGTATGACATATTTAGTGAGCTTGAGTAAATTGATGGCGGAACAGGTTTTAAGAGAAATAGCCATGATCGCCAACGTCCTGAGGGGACACGGTACATGAAGATGAAGAGCAATACAAGGGCGACAGAAGAGCGATACAAGGGCGACAGAAGAGCGATACAAGGGCGACAGAAGAGCGATACAAGAATGACAGAAGAGCGATACAAGGGCGACAGAAGAGCAATACAGAGGCGACAGAAGTGTGATACAAGAGTGACAGAAGAGTGATACAAGGGCGACAGAAGAGCGATACAAGAATGACAGAAGAGCGATACAAGAATGACAGAAGAGCGATACAAGGGCGACAGAAGAGCAATACAGAGGCGACAGAAGTGTGATACAAGAGTGACAGAAGAGTGATACAAGGGCGACAGAAGAGGGATAAGTGTGACATAAGAGCGATACAAGGGCGACAGAAGAGCGATACAAGAATGACAGAAGAGCGATACAAGGGTGACAGAAGAGTGATACAAGGGCGACAGAAGAGCGATATAAGAATGACAGAAGAGCGATACAAGGGCGACAGAAGAGCGATACAAGGGCGACAGAAGAGCAATACAGAGGCGACAGAAGTGTGATACAAGAGTGACAGAAGAGTGATACAAGGGCGACAGAAGAGGGATACAAGGGCGACATAAGAGCGATACAAGGGCGACAGAAGAGGTTTTTCATGCCATCTCTCAGCTGCGTCTCTGTCTTTTGACGGAGTGCAACTTTGTTGCGTATCTGTGTAAAGAGAGCAGCTGATAAAATATTGTGATGTGTTCGGTTTCGGGCTAAAGCTGTCCGCGGCAGTACCTCCCTCATTGCACTAAAGAGGTGGGGGTAAGTAGTAATACAAACGCCAGCGTTCGGGCCTCCTCACCTTAAACTGACCTTGTGTCGCATCTTGCCATCGTGGGGGAGGCCGGTTAATACCGAGACTCTTAGTACTTCGTGGGTGAAAAAAGTAGTTGTACGTTGCGAGTCGTGGGTACGGATTTCTCAGCCCCTTTTGATTTACGCCCTCTGTGTT